TAACGGAATTGTATCGATTTAGTGAAGATAGTTTTTTTTTTGAGACTCACTCGCTGTTCTTGCAGGTCATACTAAGCGAAGGAGATAACCTCGATTAACGTACCGAATGTGTTAAACTTGATAACTTTATTCACACGTATCAGTTTTGTAATTCAAATCAGGTCTTATCATCACCCTTGCCTTCATAAATTTAAAATAAACACCGTGCAGGAAGCAAGAAATTGTCATGCATGTGAGCAAGGGTCATGTGGATCTTACATGCACAGCTGCTTATATCGTGGGCGAGTCGTCCTACCACTAATGAGGAGTTTAGCATACTTAATGTTAATTAGCTTTAAGGCACTGTAGACTTTTTCTTAGAAGTACTTTTCATTTTATTTTAAAGACGTCTTCTAGATTTAAAAGCAAAGTTTAAAATAGAAAGTCCCGTTATATACAGAGACATCTTTTCCAAATTGATATTATTTAGTCTTAGTCTTTTTTTTTTATCTTACGTTAGCGATGCAAGGATCCTCGTCACCCCAATATGATTATCACGAACTGAGAGTCTGAAATGTCTTGAAAATGCCGGGCATCTCTCCACTCGCTAAGCTGCCTTATACAGAGCGTGAGTTGGTTTAAATATATTCTCCTTCCGCGGATATGCAAATCATTCAAGGCCTTGCATCTGCTTAGGCGAAAAGAGACCCTAGAGGAATTAAATAAATGCGAAGAAGCGGGAGTTTGTGCAATAATCACGTTGCAGAATCACTAAGATGCATCTCAAAATAGCAGCGGCAACTTTTTGCTCTTGTCTTGTCTTCTCTCTCTCTCTCTCTCGCTGTCTCTCTCTATCTTTGTCTCTGTTTGTGTGTGTGTGTCTCCCCCCCCCCCCCCTCTCTCTCTCTCTCTCTCTCTCTCTCCTCTCTCTCTCTCTCTCTCTCTCTCTCTCTCTCTCTCTCTCTCTCTCCCCTCTCTCCCTCTCTCTCTCTCCCTCTCCCTCCCTCTCTCTCTCCCATTCTCCCTCTCTCCCTCTCTCCCTCTCTCTCTCTCTCCCTCCCTCCCTCCCTCCCTCCCTCCCTCCTCCTCCTCCTCCTCCTCCTCCTCCTCCTCTCCTCCTCCTCCTCCTCCTCCTCCTCCTTCTGTACTTCCTCTTCCTCCTCCTCTTTCTCCTGCCTCTCCCTCTCTCTCCCTCCCTCTCTCTTTCTCTCCCCACTTCCCTCCCTCCCGTATTCTATTCTCTAATTATTTGCCTTTTTTCTCTCTCTTTATCCTCTTCCTTTCACTTACCATCTCCAAAAAAAGACAATCCAACAACCAGTCATCTCATCTCCAACAACCAGTCATCTCCAACAACCAGTCAAATCCAGCAACCAATCATCTCCAAAAATGAATCTCCAACCCTTACACTCTCTCTCTCTCTCTCCCTCTCCCTACAGACGACGACTCCCTCATCGTTTACTTCTACGGTCCCACGTCCGTCGTTTTGGGCATCAACGTCATCATCTTCTGCATGTCGGCTTATAAGCTGTGCACGTTCAACAAGAACTCAGAGGCTAGGATGTTCCAGTGAGTATTCTTTCTTTTTTTTCGTTTTCTTTGTTTTTGTTTGTATGTTTTTAGTTTTTATTTTTTTTTTTTATAGTATTTTGTTCGTGTGTGTGTGTGTGTGTGTGTGTGTGTGTGTGTGTGTGTGTGTGTGTGTGTGTGTGTGTGTGTGGTTTTTCGGTATATTGTTAGTTTTTGTTTGTTTTGTTTTTCTTGGTCCGTTTTGGTTTTCGATTCGTTTTTCGTTATTGTTATTATTGTTAAGATCATTATTAGTAATGCAATTATTATTATCATTATTGTAATTATGGTGATTATTATCATCATTATTATTATTATTATTATTATTATTATTATTATTATTATTATTATAATAATATTATTATTATAATTATTATTATTGTTATTGACATTACAGTTATTATTATTAATACAATTATTATTATAATCATTATTATTATCAATATTATTATCATTAATATTATTATTAATAATATAATAATAATAATGATAATAATAATAATAATAATAATAATTATTATTATTAATAATATTGTTATTATTATTATCATTATATTAGTTATATATCATGGCAGGATTACTAATTAACTTTCTACTTATTATCACTCCTATCTTCAAATTACCTGTCAATCATATCTCTCTCTGCCATGTTCCACTCCCGCATGACTTTCCTAAAACACAAAAAGCAAATCATAAATCGCATTCCCTTAACGTGTCCTCGTCAACATAACAACAACAACACCGGATTATGATTTGCTGTTCCTCCTTTAACCTCCTCGCGTCTCACTTCCTTTTCTTGCTACTCTCTCAAGGCGGGGGAATTCAGGGTCAGCCGGCGAGGAGGCTACGACGAAGTCAATGTCAGGCAGTTTTTGGGGGAAGTTTTCGCCGTTCTCGGTCCGTTATCAGGGGGAGGAGGAGGATGATGTTTGATGTCCCTTCCTCTAGCTCGTTTTGACTTCTTTCTCTTTCGTTATTGTTTTTTAAATTCTCCTCTCCTCTCTCTTTTTTATTGGTGTATTCCGTTTGGTGTTTGATTTTTTTTTGTTTTTTGTTTTTTGTTTTTGGGTTCTTCTGATTTCCTTTGTTGTGTTCTATCTATGTCTCTCTTTCTTTCTTATTTCTTTATTTAGCGTCCTGTTTCCTTTCTGTGTGATGCGGTTTAGTATGTGTATCTGTATATGTGTATGTGCATACGTGTGGGTGTGTACAACTCGTCCTTCTCCATCATTTCATGCTGCGCACCTCAGTCGCTCCTCCCTCCTTCTCTCCTCTCCCTCCCTGCCTCCCATCTCTCCTCTCCTCTTCCCCCCTTCCCTCCCTCCCTCCATTTCTCTCGCCCTATCCCCTCCCTCCGTCTCTCACTAGTCCCTCCCTCCTTCTCTCCCTTCCCTCCTTCCCATCCTCTCCCCTTCTCCCAAACTCCCTCTCTCCTTCTCCCAACTCCCCTCCCCCCTTCCTCTCCCCTTCTCCCCTCCCCTTTTCTCCCTCCCTCCCTCTTTACCCCCCCCTTCCCCCGTCCTACCTGGTTCTCTCGCGTCATGTTAATGGAGATCTGGGAACGACACGTAATCAAGTATACAGATGGCCTTAATTTTTCCGGTGACAAGCACACACTTACACACGTTTCGAGTTTCTTTCACACACACGCATACGCTGAAGGAGGCGGTTACATGCTTACGCTATGTAAATAAAATAAAGAGAGAGAGGGAGGGAGGGTGAGAGAGAGAGAGAGAGAGAGAGAGAGAGAGAGAGAGAGAGAGAGAGAGAGAGAGAGAGAGAGAGAGAGAGAGAGAGAGAGAGAGACAGAGACAGAGACAGAGAGACAGAGGGAGAGAGAGAGAGAGAGAGAGAGAGAGAGAGAGAGAGAGAGAGAGAGAGAGAGAGAGAGAGAGAGAGAGAGAGAGAGAGAGAGACAGACAGACAGACAGAGACAAAGAGAGACAGAGACAGACACAGAAAGAAACAGAGATAGATTCAGGGAGACAGGCAGACAGATAGACAAATGGAACCGAAAAGAGAAACAGACAAACAAAACAAACACAAAGACTAAAAAAAAGCAAGCAAGAGTAGTAGGAAACGCTGAGGCCGAGAGTGCATGAGAGTGAGTGAGCAGGCGGCGCTCACAGGCGTGCCTCGTAGCCTCACCCACGGCATCACACTCACCCAGCAACAGCAGTGTGCCATCCTACCTTCCTCACCTGTATGGCCTGTCCTTGCCTTCCTCTCCCCCCCCCCCTCATCTCGTCTCTCTTGTCGTCTCTTCCTTGTTCTTTTTCTTTATTTTTTCGTGTATTTTTTTTTATCTTCTTTCTTTATTTTGTTTTGTTTTTCTTCTGCTTCGTAACCTTGTTGCTGTTAATACCGTGCATTATCTTCACCTTATGTTCTTTTCTTTGTTTTCTCTTGTTTTTTTTATCTTTCTTTTTTTTCGTTTCCTTGTCCATCTCATTTGTTCTTTCTCATTTCTTTCTCACTTCTTTATCCATCTCGTACCTTCTTTCTCCTTCCTTTCTTATCCTTTTTTGTCTATTCTTACCGCACCTTACCTCACGTTCCTGGTCACGTGTTGTGTGTCTACCCGCACCTTTTTCTTAAGCTTTTATTGTTTTTATTTTATTATTATTTTTTTTATTTCTTCTGGTTTTCTTTCGTCTCCTCCCTTCTCCTCCTCTTCCATTTCCCCATTTCACCCCTTCCTTTACCTCCTTTGTTTACCTGCTTCTTCTTTCTCTCCCTATCCCATTCCCTCTGTCTTTATCTCTCCTTACCTTTATTTTAACAGTTCTTCACCTCCCTCCTTCCGTCTTCCTCTCATTTCCCCTTCGTTTATCTCCCGCTTCCCACCCCCCTTCATTCTCACCTCTCCCTCTCTTCCTCCATTCATTTTTCTCTCTCCCTCTCCCTTTTCCTCTCCTTCTTCTCTCTCTCCCTCGTCCTCTTCTTCTCCCTCTCCCTCTCCTACTCCTTCTTCTCTCTCTTCCTCTTCTCCCTCTCCATCTCTTTCTTTTCTCTCTCCCTCTTCCTCTCCTTCTCTCTCTCCCTCGTCCTCTCCTTTTTCTCCCTCGACCTCTCTCTCTTATTCTCCTTCTCTCTCTCCCTCTCCCTCTCCTCCTTCTCCCTCTCCCTCGTACCTTCATCAAGGCCACGGACTGCGCACCTTCCACACCCTTCTTCATAATTTTTGGCGCTGCTTTAAGTTCTTTTCGTCACTTTTCGCTGATAACTCTTTATTTTCGTATGGAATGTTCTTTCTCGCGGGTGATGTATTGAGGGAAAAAGACCAAAAGAAAAAGTAACGAATATTAGTTTATTGTCGTAATTTTGTCTTGTTCGGGTTGGGGGAGGGGTGATGGGGGGGGGGGGGGGGGGTGGGGGTGGAGGGTAGGGAGGGCGCTTGTTGCATATTGTAATTATATATATGTGTTTTCTCCTAGTGTGTTAACTGGAGC